GCAGCTGGTTTGACAACTTATGGTGTGATATGCTGAGAAAATGTGTTGTCAAACCAGCCGCGATAGTTATCAATTCTTGCACCCTGAGTTGTCAACCATTGCTCTTTTAGTTGTCAAAACAAAGTTAAAAAAAGAATGGTAATTTAGTAATTAAACAAATAAAATTTATTGCAAAAAAGTCCCTTGCGACTTTAGAATAATTTCATGATTTCAAGGGACCTTTTGCATTTAATTCTCTTGAGTGGGACCTAATTGCAATTCTCTCAAGAATTTTTTTCCGATAGCAATTAGTACATGAAAGGTTCAGTTGAACATTGACGTTTAATGCAAGGACGACGGCACAGCACGCCATAGAAGCTGTGTAGATCTCAACAGCTGAAAGACACGTGTCATTCTTTCTCATTTTTCCTTCTTGGCTGTCCTCTGCTCATCTGCTGCTCTGTTTCTGGCATATCCCTTCAACTCCACTTTGCTCGACCTATTTTTCTCCATTTCAGTTAAAAGTCAACAATTTAGGGCTTGTTTGAAGTTCCGTTCAAAATAGACTTTTAAATAAGTTTACGTAAATGAAGACAAAACTCTCTTAACATATTTATCTCGTATTCCATAAATCATATTTAAAAAGCTACTTATAAATCAATTCAAACAAACTCTTAATCACCTAACATGTGAATGTAGGATTTGAAGTCATATAATCCAGACAAGACTTAATTATGCCACTCATGCGCTGAAATTTTTTCACCAGAATACACAGATATTCATCTTTTTTTTTCCTCAAAGCTTTGGCTTTCTTTTTTTGCCACTCGTTTCATTGTAATTTTAGTTTACGCACTACAAAAAAAAAAAAAGACTTTAGGCAACAACTTTCGACGGCCACAAAAAAAGTTGTCGCTGAAAGTTTGCCGCTGAAACTAAGACTTTCAATGGCGACCAAAAATGTTGCCGTTGAAAGAGTGGACTTTGTTGTTTCTGCTGAAAGTAGACTTTCAGCGGTGACGTTTTTTGTCGCTACTGAAAGTATACCTGTGAGAATCATGGGTTCACTTTTAGCGGCGACATTCTATAGTCACCGTGAAAGTAGACTTCAACGGTGACTATCAGTGTCACTGTTGAAGTCTGACTTTCAGCGACGACTTTATGATGTCGCCGCTAAAAGTGTAAATATAAATATATTTTATTTTACAATATTAAAGTGAAAATATTTGGACGATGACGTGGCGGGGAGGAGTGATGTGGCAATGACGTGGAGGTGGCTAGTGATGACGTGGTGGTCGGTGACGATGACGTGCATTGGTAAAGCCAATTCTTCTTAGGCATTACTTCAGTGGCGATAAAAAGGTCGCTGTTGAACATCCCTTTGGCGGTGACAAAAAAGTTATCGCTGAACATCTCTTTTGGCGGCTACAAATTGTCGTTGTTGAAAAAGTCTTTTAGCAGCGACAAGAATGTCACTGCCGAAAGTGTCGTTTAGTGGCGACATTCTTGTCACCGTCGAATGTGTTTCAGTGGCGACAAATGTCGCCATTGAAAGTGTCTTTCAGCGGCAACCTTTTAGTCACTGCTGAAAGTTTTCAGCCACGGTTGCTACAGCAATGACTTTTCGTGGCGACAAACTTTCAACGGCAACTTTTTGTAGCCACTGAAAGTCAATTTTTTTGTAGTGACAGAAACAGACAAGCTAGTGAATTCCAGATGGCGAAACAAAGGTTAATTATTGAGATAGCAGCAATTAATAGACAAACCGTAATTTTGCTTCCAGATGCTTTCTGGTGCATTGTATACAAAGACAGCCGTTGTTGTTTTGGAAACATGGATGGAATATTATGGCTCAGTGCCTTCTATTAGACTGAAACCTTGCAGGATTTGTTGCAGGCTCATCAAATATACGTCAATTCTATATGTGCAGACTCTGTTTATAAAGAATTTATGTTAACCCAAACTAATTACAGTTATTATTTAATATCGTTACGCATAATTATGTAAATATATTCTGACGCCGATTTCAATGAAGCTTGAATTCGACATACTTTTCATAAAAATAATATCAAATACTGAATATTTTAAAATATATTTTTCAAATACTAATACTTTTCGTTTCATTTTTATTACGCCCGTTAGTATAATATTATTTAAGATATATTTAAAATATTATATTAAAATTTTGCCATCAATTTATTCATTAATATAAATAAAAGGTATGTGAAATGAATAAAATATATTCATGGTGTTCAGTAGCTCAAATCGTTCTAAACCCTTAAAAATTTATTCATTTTTCGATTATTTACATAACAATAATAGTAGTAGTAGCATGATGAAGATGATGAGGAGGAGGAGAAGTCCTTTTTTTTTTTGGTTTGGTAATAGGAGCCAAATTATTTAATGTATAAGGATAAACCGATACATATGACTTGGGCCTCAATGCAACCAATCTTTCGAAACAGGAAGGGGGGAAAAAAACCAAAGAAGCTCACGTGAAAAGCAAAGACTTAAATTCAACTGAGGAGGAGAGTTGAGTCAAGTGGTTGATAGGAGTTGACATGAAAAGGGAAAAGGAAAGCAAATGAATGTTAGGATAGCACACTGTTTTAAATGTTAAGCCATTAAAAGAAAGCAAAAACTCAATTTAAATCCTTCCAATTGTGTTATTCGTGGGAGACCTTGACTTATAGTGTGCGTCTGGGTAGGCACGCAATTGTGTTCAACATCACCAGGAAGACCTTGACTTATAAATAAGGAGGCCGGGTTGTCCATCTCATGTACTTGTTAGAGTTTCACGTTGCATGAGATAGCTGCAATAATGATGAGCGTGAGTTATCAAAACTTGTGAAATTGCCGCAACCAATCATCATATTCATGATGCTGCCACTTGCAGGCTGAGTTGTTCATGATAGTTCATGTTGGAGAATGGGAGATGCCAATGCTAGTTGCCTGCCAGAAAGGGAAAGACGATCTTCTCAGCATGAGAATGCCTTTGTGGATCATTATGTCGTCTGTCTTGGGGCTCTTCTCCAGATTGTTGCCGCTGGAGTGGTGTGTTTGTAATCCTCACACTGGCCATGTTGAGAAGCTCCATCTTGATGATGGTGGGTGGACCTCGCAGCCTTTAAAGGTGAGATTAGCCATCATTGATGGACTTTGCAAAACTTAAACTATTGAATCTCAGTTTCAATAATTTCAATGGGAGTCAAAATCCCAAAATTTTGGTTCTCTCACCAAATTACGACACTTGATCTATCTAGTTCTTTTTTGGTGAAAAAATACCAATTGAACTTTGCAAGCTTTCAAACTTGTCAGTTCTAGATCTTTCCTACAACGGTTTAGTTGTAACATACCTTTCCATCTTGCAAACCTTTCAAGTCTGCAAGAGCTCTATCTAGGTGGGAATGATTTAGTGGGAAACATTCCTAGCCAACTGGTAATCTTTCAAGCATGGAGATACTCCGGATTGGCTACAATGATGGTTTGAAAATTGATGACAAGAGTTTGGCTGCCATTGAGTGGCTTTCCAATCTTCGGTCATATAACTTTGCTTGATTTAAGCTATGTTCCAATCTTAATTACTCTGACAACTTGTTGCCATTATTGGAAAGCTTCCAAACCTGAGAGAGCTATGGCTTACAAACTGTAGCCTGACAGACAAAATATTCTATCAACTCCTCCATCCCATTTGAATTTTTCTGCATCTCTCTTCACTCTTAAGCTTGGTGACAACAAGCTGACATCATATATTCCTTGGCTGTTCAATCTAAGCTCCAATCTCCACACCTTTCTTTGTTGAACAATCACTTGGGTGGTCCCATTCCAGCGAGATTTGGAAAAAACATGAACTTCTTTAGTGACTCTTTACCTTGAGGGTAATGAGCTAATGGAACAATCAGGACATCCATTTTGATAATCTCACAAGTTAAAATACTTAGACTTATATGATAATTTCTTGACCCTCAAATTCAGCGCCGATTGGATTCCTCCATTTCAATACACAACTGTTATGGTTACAGCAGTGTAAGTTGGGATGGATTCCCTATATGGCTTCGCACTCAAACTATTTACAAGGTTATATGTTTTCTGATGCTCAAATCAATGATTCTATACCAGAGTGGTTTTGGAGACTTGTAAAGGGAGCACATGGGCTTCGAATAGAATCCAACAATCTCACAGGTGTAATTTCAGATCTGCCACTGATGAATTTAATGTTTATGGTATATCATTGGCTTCTAATCAATTAAGGCTCTGTTCACCATTCCTACTAAAGAGCCGATTTTAGACATTTCAGACAATCTAATTTCAAAATTTGGTCATTCATGTGGCAAGGGAAACAGGCAATTGTTGAAAAATTGGTAGCTTTAAATCTCTCAAGCAACAACTATCAGGGGAACTCTTGGTTGTTGGATCATTTCAAATCATTAAGTATTTTGACTTATCCAATAATCAACTCTCAGGAAGGATTACTAACTCTATGGGGCTTAAGTCAACTTAAGCAGTTAGTTCTGCGAAACATCACTTTAGTGGTGGACTGCCTTCCTTCAAAAATGCAACTAAACTAGGAATGTTAGATTTGGATTTGGAAAAATGACTTGTCAGGACAATACAGCCGACGAGAGACAATCTAAAAGAGTTGGAAACTGTTAGCCTACGGATGAATAAATTAGATGGAAAGTTGCCCTTGCATCTATGTTATTACCAAAGGCTAGGATTTGGATTCCCTTTTAACAGGTTTATTGGACCAATACCAAGTTGTCTTGACAACCTGGTGCAATGGCTCAAAAATATGTTGTAAATGATTCAAAATATGATATCATCGTCTTTAAGAACGGAACAGCTCAAGCAATTGAAATTTTTTATTGGAAGTTGCCTATGGTATAGAAAGGAATAGAACAGGTGTGCATGACCGCTATGGGCTTATGAACATTGATCTCTCTCACAATCAATTGGAGGGGAAATGCAACAGGAATTGTGAATTGATCGAGTTGAGATTCCTGAATCTATCATCAAATAGGTTGAGTGGAAAAATCATTTCAGAGATGGATAACTAAAATCTCTAGAAGTTCTGGATCTATCGAGAAATTATTTTGATGGAGAAATTCCTTTGACTCTTGCTGAAATATCTTCCCTCAACACCTTGAATTTGTCAAACAACAACTTGAGAAGACAAATTCCAACGGGAACACAATTGCAATCTTTTGAGCCCTCCAGCTATGAAGGAAACCCTTACCTTTGCAGGAGGCCGTTGGACAAGCTCTGTCCTTTTGAAGATCGTCCATTAGGGAATGCGGCACAAGCTACCCAGGTTGCTGATGAAGACGACACCTTCATGAAAGGATTCTCTGAAAGCTTGGGCGTGGGATTTGTTGTTGGATTTTGGATAGTGTTTGGATCATTGTTAGCTATTCGATCATGGAGGCATGCCTACTTCAATTTTGTAGGCAAGTTGTCAGACTCTATCTATGTGGCAATAGTGCTTCTTGTGGCAAGATGGCGCAGGTGGCTCTGCAGCTAGAAGGTAATATTTTCTTAGTTATGGTTGTTATCTATCAACAAAAGGTTTACATTACTTATGTGTTTCTTTGTTTGTTATATCTCAGTTGTAAGATTTAATTGTTTCGTTATTGATTGTCATCATATTAGCTAGAGCTGGGCATCCTGGGGTTTATCTGCAACAGCCTAAACACAACTCTTGCTTATCAGATTTTACGGCGAGTGTCATATAGTAGTTTGTGCAGGTAGGCATATAGTGTGGCAGAAATTAATAAGGCAAGAAGAATAAGAAATTTTACTGTATCATCCTCTTTTGTTACTTCTTTTAGTTGCGGGATTATGTATTCTGTATTGGGACTGTAATTTTATTGTAATCTTTATTGGCATGAATCTGTTGTTAGTTTTATTGTGTTATGAATTTCATTATCATACCTCCAATATTAAAAAATTATGTTAAATTGTAACAGATTCATGAGCAGAACAAAACTCTGCCACCAAAAATTTTTGGATGACAGCTACATTCTCAATTATCTACTGTTAGTATAATAATCTGTGAATTTAGAGAGGTCAGCAGAAGCGGGGTTGTGCTCGCAAAAGATTTTCATATTGTCATCGGCCATCAGATACAAGTTTTATTCTACTAAGTAGAGTCATTCACAAGTGATTCATGAGTTATGAAACTAACATCTTATTCTACTAAGTAGAGTCATTCACAAGTGATTCATGAGTATGAAACTAACTCTTATGATAACAATAAGTCGCATTTTCCTCCTAACGCTTTTCTTTTATTTTATCTTTGAAGATTTTAAGATTCCTCATTGTAATGCTGCCGAATAGATAACTGATTCGCATAATCAATCGTCATGCTAATGGAGACATTGGAGCAACCCCTCAAAGTACAGGGGTAAACATGTCAAGTTATTGCAAAGGTGGACGTGATAAATTAATTAGCAGCGACGAGGACCATATACATATATGTGTGTGTATTTGATATATTAGATTATAGACTATTTATTCTAATAAATTCGGATTGTTGTTTCTATGCTCTGCTTAAATTCTTTTCACATGGTCTCTGTTTCTTGCTGTTCATGCTGTATCCCTAGTTTACAAGTTGCATTCTTTGTGGTAAATGATAGATATTTACTTCTTGATATGATTATATTAGTCCTATAAAGTACTAGGTTGGTTCCAATTAACGTTCAAGCATCACAAGCACATGACACTGATTTAATAATCTAACCCAGCTTTTGCGGAAAGTCATTTATTGGGGACAAATCATTTGCTAGCAGCATGTCGTTATTATTTTGCAAATAGAAGAGTTGCTTTCTGTTTTTTCTTTCTAAATTATTTATCAACTAAATTTGTTCAATCAATCATCAAGCCAATAAATCAAGAAGGCACTTTTCAATGTAATAAGGCGGGTTTGAAAACATTTTTAGTGGCTTAAAAATTTAGAGTTACCATATGTTTAATATGAGGGAAATATAAGGGAGAGGAGAAAATATGTTTATGAGCTCAATTTATAAAATTAAAGAGATAAGGTTATAAAATTTAATAAAAAATATAAATCAAAGAGTAATAAGAATTAATTAAAAGCTTTTACCTTGCTTACCCAATTTTTTATATCAAGGTGGTCAAAATTTTCCTCCCATTCCCTTCCATCCATTTCCCTCACACCGAACCAACCATTAGTTTAAAAAAAAATATATGAAGTTTATTGGTGGTTATTGTCAGTAAATTGAAAGGGAGCAGGAATTAAATAAATAACCATGATTGAAGCACCCTAGTTAAAAAGATGGAAATTAACAATCTCCTGTCGTTCGAGGAATACGTTTGGGTATACGGATTTTAGAATTTTATTTTGCCAATAAAGAAACACTTTATAAAATGAAGGAATTACAATAAAAATTTGTACAAAATTAAAAGATTAAAGCTATACTTTTATCCAAATATTTTGATATTCCTAATATGAGAGTATACCATAACATATAATATTATTGATTCGAATTGTATACATAAAAGGATTATATGCTTGGACAAAAAAATAGAAGGGTTATAAATGACATTTCATCACTGGAAGACTTTGGTAATTGCTCGGGGTCTACTGTTCTAATTCCAAAAATCATAGGTCTCCGGCAGACCCACGCAGAGAACCATTCATAAAGTAATTACAGAATATTTTTAAAGAAAACAGAGAAAATCTAAAAAAACCCTTAAATTTTGAAATTTCAAATAACAAATTACTATAAAAATATGTTGTCAATTCGTTTTCAAATATAGTCGATTGCTATTAAAATGCAATAAACAAGACTGATTTAAAATTTTTAAATTAGCATTTTTTTGGGAGATTTCCCCTTAAAAAATCAAAATTATGTACAGTGTGCTTTGACTATTATTGGCCAATAAAAAGAAGTACGCATTATATATAGTCCAAACATACTTTTGACTAATCAGTGCATCCTTCGCTGGGCCTATATATGTGTGGGTGTCTGTATGTGTGGAATTAAGAGAAATAACTAGAAAGATTATTATACATATTCCACAGAACTCGTTTTCTCACAAAAAAGTACTCAAGACTAGTGTTACATCACATACAAAGTATGTTTGAAACTTGGAAAAAAAAGTAATGCGTGTTGGAGACGATATATTATTAAAGTTGTGCTGGGAATGATGATCCTAAAAAAAAGGGCATCACAAAATAGATAGCAACGAGATGAAATAGTTTTAATAATGTCCACATGATTTATATATTTTTTTTGGATAGTTTTTCATATACATTTATTCTATTTAACTTTTATTACAAAAGTCACCTAATTTCGTGATGGTAATTGCACTGATAGACACAAAGGAACATGCGTGGAGGATACCAATATTTTTTGTGACTTCCATGAAATTGAGCTCTTCATGAAATAAGGATTATTCAATAGAAAGGGCTCCCCACTTGGAAATTTCTCTCTTCCTGCTTGTGCTCGGTCACTGTAGGTTCCTAGCTGACAATACGCTACTTCCTCCTGTCCTTAGGATGTCCCTATACCATAAATATTTACTTCGCAGAAATATTTTTTGTACAGCTCGAGACAGATTCAATCATATATTTATTTTGTATATCATAAAAATATTTTTAAAATTATAGTTTTGTTTCTATCCAAACACCTCTTAAATCACAAAAATTTGCTAAGTTAGTTATTTACTTCTCCGATTCTTAATATAAGACTCATTTAACTAATTTGATTAGATTAAGAAAGTTAGGTAAGTTAGTTAATTATAAGAAATGTGATACATTTTTTTCTAAAATACCATAACCATATTTCTTAATATCATCTCTCTCTTCTAATTGATGATGGTTAAGGGAGTATTTATAGGAGTAATTTAGAGAAAATTGATAAATATGAGAAATGGATCTTATATTTAGGACCAAAACCAACTCAAAAATTAGGTCATATATTAAGGATAAAAGGAGTATAATAAATAAGTGTTATTTTTTAAAAAAATATTCTTACTAATCATATGTATTAGTTATAACTACCATTTGATAGAATTTTTAACATGCACAACTATTACAAGGATTATTTTAAAAGAATAGATAAATATGAGAAATAAAATGGATTATGGTATTATATTTATAACAAAATTAAAACTCAAACTAGTATTTATAAAAAAATTAAAACTCAAACTAACTCTTATATTAAGGGCTTTTAAGAAAAATAGGAAAAATGACAGAGAAATATTTATTGAATTTCAAAATAATAAACAAGTGATTTTGATAGATTTTGAGTAGTCAAAATTATTATAAGAATAGTTAACAAGAGATATTTATCTTTTTAAAATTTAACAGGTATTTTTCTGTCATTTTATTAAAAAATTAAGTTGGGTCTCTATTTATTAAATTTTAATTCACATTGATTATATCCACCCTTAGTCGTCACACATATATATATTGCACACAAAAAATCTCACAAAAATTACTTTGTAACATTAAACAGCGATTTGGAAAATCGTAAAAAAACATTATATACCTCCCGGATTCAAATATAGGAGTACACGGTAAATATTACTCTTTTTGTCCTTAATATAATACTTAATTATTAAATTAATTTTGGTTCTAAATATAGAATCTATTTCTTTTATTTATTAATTTTTTCCTACATTACCTCTATGATACTCCCTCAACCATAATAAAATAAAAAAAGGAGGAAGAATATTAAGAAAGATGATTATAATATTTTAGAAAAAATATATCATATTTTTTATAATTAACTAACTTATCTAATTTCTTTAATCTAAATCTTATATTGATGATTGGAAGAGTATTTTATTAGATCTCTGATTCTAAATATTAAATTTAGATAACTAATTTAAAAATATTAAAAAAAGTATTATAGTCACTTAGAGTCTCTTGTGGTTTTGTTTTAATTCCAAATCCGTAACCCCACTTTGACCCCCCAAAAAAAAAATGCTACAGGCCCACGCGCCGCGGAGCGGGATGACCACAGCCGAAAAGTACACCTTTACATTTTTTCTCGTCCAAATAAAAGTTTGACTAAACTGCATTAGACTTTTAGTGGAATTGGGAGAAATAATCCAACTCACCAACTTCTTGTAATTTTTCATTTTCGTGACCTGTCCTCATTTCCACCACATCAAGTGTCACTCATTTGAATTGAAGAAATTATATGCGAAGGAAAGGAGAAATAACAAAAAAATGCTTATTAATTTTAAAATAATAAATAAATGGTTTTGACACATTTTGATTCAGTGTTGTCATGTTTTCCAAATTTAAGTCCATGTAATTGTTTACCCCACAAAAAGTCTGTGTAATTTTTTTGACCCAGTGACATTGAGCATGGTGCCTCCAGACTTGAAAATTCTCCGTGCTTTGTGCTGTGTAACATGTGTCAAGGGGACAGAAACACATTTTCGAATTTATTTATTAATTTTTAATTCATGTCATATCTACCATTTTCATTACATGCATATATTGAACATTACTTTAATGCGTTGAAATTTTTTTTTTTAAAAATCAAATCATTACATTAAACAGAAGTTTGGAAATTTTTTATATATCTTTGGCTATTATAGTTTACTTGTTATATGTTTAATTCATACACTAACGATTTTCATACGAGTGTCAACAATTTGATTTATCACTATATTTTACTTGTTTTATTTTATTTCTCTACTGATTCTTCCGTAACTTTTTCTCTTTTTTTTTTTTTGCCGGATACTGATTCTTCAGTATTGAAGCTTGTGATCTCACTATTATTCGTAACTTTGAATGAAAATAATACCTATATATGTGTATACAATCATAATAGTACTAACTCCCTTTTATTTTTATTATAGGAGTTACCATATGATTCATAATATTACATGTTTGGTTCAAAATATTAATTTTTTCCCGCTTAGCATCACTTATTCATTATAAAATTTCTTAACTAATTTACAAAACTAACCTAACTAATAATTTTTATTAAGAATCATTTTAAAATTTTACGGAAAGAAACTTATTTTTAACTATTAACTAATTAATTTTATTAAGTCACGTAAAGTGGTTAATTAAACCTAATAAAATGTATCATGGGAGCTTTAGAGGTAATTGAGTAATTGACTAAACTCTGTATCCTCCAGTGTCTGCATGAAAAGTCCCCAAAAAACAAAAAACAAGCCCATTGCCCCAGTGCTATATGCGGCGTCTGTATCCGTGGAATTAGGAGAAATAATTCTAAAGATTATTATACATATTCCACAAATCTCGTTTTCTCATGAAACGATAATGAAGACTGTTACATCATTTATGGAAACTATGCTTGAAACTTGGAAAAAAGGAGCACGTGTTGGACACTACATGTTATTGACCCCGTGTTAGGTATGGTGATCTCATAACATGAGGGGCATCGCAAAAAAAAAAAAAAAAAAAAAAACCAAGAAGAAGAAGAAGAGATGAAATAGTTTTAATAATGTCAGCATGATTTGAATTTTTTGCTATTTTTTAAAAGGAGAAAAAAGGAATATTCATTATTTTCATCTAATTTAATATAGCATTTCATATCTATCTAATTTGTATGCCAACACCCACTGCATTGATAGATACAGCAATAGAAAATGGGTGGGCCGGGGTGTGTTTGGATGAAATCAAACCGTGGTTTGAAAAAGTGATTCTGGAGAATAGATTCTGGGGAAAATAGATTCTGTGAAGAATAGATTTTGTAAAAAAGTGATTCTGAGAAGTGAGAGTGTTTGGATAGTTGTTATCAGAAGCACTTTTTATATATACAAATTACTAAAAAAAATACATAAGTTAATATGATAATTACAGAAAAAATAGATTTTATGATATATTTTAATTTGAAAGAATAAAATTGTTAATAATATGTTTTTTACCAACATAATTAATAATACATAAGATAATATAATTAATAAATAATTAATGTGTATATATATTTATAAAATATAAGATTAAATATATTTATAAAAAAATATGTTTATAAAAAAAATAACAAGATATATATCATATAGGCCCTCACATTCTCCCTTTTTTCTCCAAAAGCAAAAAATTTTTGCTTTTTCCAAAACCATGGTTTTGACCCAAAACCATGGTTTTGGTTTTTGGAGGGGGTGTTTGGGTAGATTATTCCCCAAACCATGGTTTGGGTTCCCAAACCATGGTTTGGGGTGTCACCCAAACACACCCTAATATATGTTGTGACTTTAACTAATAAAGTAGAGCTCTTCATGAAATGATGAATATTCAATAGATAGTGCTCACCACTTGGAAATTTGACTACTTTAACACACACAAAAACATACAAAATAAATCACTTTGTAACGTTGAAAAGAAGTTTGATAAATTATAAAATACATTATATCGTGATAAATTTGATTTCGTAGTTGTTATATATTTACGTCACATGTTTATATATTATATGGATATTTACGTTCACTTTTCCTTTTTACAAATTTGTTTCTTTTCCAATTTTATATCATTTATATATAAAAATATTTCAAAGTTTATCTTTATTGTCAGCCGATGATGGGGAGAAGCGATCAGGTCTGGAGCTACAGGTACAATTATTTAAGATTATTGTAATAACTAATAAATCCTGGTGAACGATCAGCCTCTAATATTTAATATTAAGTTGTTATAAATAACGTTTCTGTGTTGGAGTCGCTTGAGTAAATAAAACTAACGAAATTCTAAGAACACAATATTAAATATTTCTTGTAATTAAGATATTTTAAAATCTTAAAATAAATATTTACCAATAAAAAATAAAAAATATTTATTTCAAGGCTATTTATGTTGTAATTAAAAATGTTTTATTAGAGTATTTTTGAAGCTTTTAGTGATACATGCAAATTTTAAACACTATAAAATTACTTGTATTTTTACTCCTAAAAAATCATCATAAGAGATGAGAGATTACTTGGGAAGAGTAAAATAATTAATTTTTATTTTTAATTAAATAGAGGCATTTTAATCATTTGACAACATTAAAACATCTTAAATTAAGCCTCGTGGCCTCATTAAGAATTTGTTAAAAGTACAAGTATATTTCAGCCATATTTTATTGATATTCTCCCAATTATCAAATTTACTATGATGTTTTATAATTAATTAATCAATTTGGGATTTCCATTCCCTACCAGGTTTATAAATAAGGAGGCCTTAGGGTTGTTCACATCATGTACTTGTTTCAGTTTCACATTTTTGCATGAGCTGCAATAATGATGAGCGTGAGTTATCTAAACCTTGTGAAACTGCCGCAACCAATCATCATACTCATGCTGCTGCACTTGCAGGCTGAGTTGTTCATGATAGGGTCATGTTGGAGAATGGGAGATGCCAATGCTAGTTGCCTACACAAGGAAAGACGAGCTCTTCTCAGCATGAAGAGTGCCTTTGTGGATGATGATGGCCGTCTATCTTCATGGGGCTCTTCTCCAGATTGTTGCCATTGGAGTGGTGTTCTTTGTAATCCTTATACTGGTCACGTTGAGATGCTCGATCTTTATGGCGGTGTGATGCCCTCACAGCGCTTAAGAGGTGAGATTAGCCCATCATTGATGGACTTGCAAAACTTAAACTATTTGAATCTCAGTTCCAATGATTTCAATCGGAGTCAAATCCCAAAATTTTTTGGTTCTCTCACCAAATTACAATATCTTGATCTATTTGATTCTTCTTTTGGTGAGAAAGTACCAATTGAACTTTGCAAGCTTTCAAACTTGTTGGTTCTAGATCTTTCCTCCAATGGTTTAGTTGGTAACATACCTTTCCATCTTGCGAACCTATCAAGTTTGCAGGAGCTCCATCTAGATGGGAATCATTTAGAGGGCAATATTCCTAGCCAACTTGGTAATCTTTCGAGCTTGAAGATACTCCGGATTGGTTACAATGATGGTTTGAGAATTGATGGCAAGAGCTTGGATGCCCTTGAGTGGCTTTCCAATCTTCGGTCATTAACTTTACTTGATTTAAGTTCTGTTTCCAATCTTAATTACTCTGATAACTTGTTGCTAATTATTGGAAAGCTTCCAAACCTGAGAGAGCTATGGCTTGCAAATTGTAGCCTGACAGACAATAATATTCTATCAACTGCTCCTTCCCATTTGAATTTTTCTGCATCTCTCTTAGCTCTTTATCTTGATGACAACAAGCTGACATCATCATTATTCCCTTGGCTGTTCAATCTAAGCTCCAATCTCGCACAACTTTCTTTGTCCAACAATCACTTAGGTGGTCCCATTCCGGATGATTTTGGAAGAAACATGAACTCTTTAGTGACTCTTGACCTTGAAGTCAATGAGCTAAATGGAACAATCAGTGACATCCATTTTGATAATCTCACCAAGTTAAAAAGCTTAGACTTATCTAATAATTTCTTGAACCTCAAATTCAGTACCGACTGGATTCCTCCCTTTCAATTACAATTTTTACGATTACGGCACTGTAAGTTGGGCCCTGGATTCCCTAAATGGCTTCACACTCAAAATAATTTACAATATTTATTTGTTTCTTATGCTGAAATCAGTGATTCTGTGCCGGAGTGGTTCTGGAGACTTGTAAAAGGAGCATATAGGCTTAAAATAGAATCGAGCAATCTCACAGGTGTAATTCCGGATCAACCACTTGAATTTAATGTTTATGACATATCATTGGCTTCCAATCAAATTAGAGGCTCTGTTCCATCGTTCCTACTAAAGAGCGGATTCTTAGACATTTCAGAAAATCTGATTTCAAAATTTGTTCATTCATGTGGTAAGGGAAGGAGTGCAATTGTTGAAAATTTGGTAGCTTTAAATCTCTCAAGCAACAACTTATCAGGGGAACTTCCTAGTTGTTGGGATCATTTCAAATCATTAAGGATTCTGGACTTATCCAATAATCAACTCTCAGGAAGGATTCCTAGCTCTACGGGGTCCTTAAGTCAACTTAAGCTGTTAGTTCTGCGAAACAATTGCTTCAGTGGTGGACTGCCTTCCTTCAAAAATGCAACTAAACTGGGAATGTTGGATCTGGAAAAAAATGACTTGTCAGGACCAATACCACCTTCGTGGACGAGAGACAATCTAAAAGAGTTGGAAACTGTTAGCCTACGGATGAATAAATTAGATGGAAAGCTGCCCTTGCATCTATGTTATTTACCGAAGGCCAGGGTTTTGGATCTCTCTTTTAACAAGTTTACTGGACTAATACCACGTTGTCTTGACAAGCTGGCTGCAATGGCCGAGAAATATGTTGTAAATGATTCCAAATATGACATATTCCTCTTTGAGAACGGAACAACCCAAGCAATTGGGCTTTTTTATTGGAAGTTGCCTATGGTATGGAAAGGAACAGAACAGGTATACAATGACCGCTATGGGCTTATGAACATTGATCTCTCTCACAATCAATTGGAGGGGGAAATGCCAACAGGAATTGTAAAATTGGTTGAGTTGAGATTCTTGAATCTATCATCAAATAGGTTGAGTGGAAAAATCATTTCAGAGATTGGACAATTAAAATCGGTAGAAGCTCTGGATCTATCGAGAAATCATTTTGATGGAGAAATTCCTTCGAGTCTTGCTGAAATATCTGCGCTAAGCACTTTGGATTTATCAAACAACAACTTGACAGGACAAATTCCAACAGGAACGCAATTGCAATCTTTTGAGCCCTCCAGCTATGAAGGAAACCCTTACCTTTGTGGGAAGCCGTTGAACAAGCTCTGTCCTTTTGAATATCATCCATTTGGGAATGTGATACTAGCTACCCAAGATGCTGATGAAGATGACGCTTTCATGAAAGGATTCTGTGAAAGCTTGGGTGTGGGATTTGCTGTTGGATTTTGGATAGTGTTTGGATCATTGTTAGCTATTCGATCATGGAGGCATGCCTACTTCAATTTCGTAGGGAAGGTGTCAGACTCTATCTATGTGGCAAGAGTGCTTCTTGTGGCAAATTGGCGCAGGTGGCTCCGTAACTAAAGGTAATATTTTCTTAATTATGGTTGTTATCTATCGACAAAAGATTTACATTACTTTTGTGCACATCAGTTGTAAGATTTAATTGTTTCGTGCCTATTGTAATTATATCACCTGGAGCTTGGTAGCTTGGGGTTTATCAGCAATAGCCCAAACACAACTCTTGATTATCAGATTTTGCGGCGAGTGTCATATAATAGTTTGTGCAAGTAGCCATGTAGTGTGGTAGAAATCAATAGAAGGCAAGAAGAATAAGAAGGATGGCATCCAGACTTGTATTGCATCATCCTCTTTTGTTACTTCTTTTAGTTTTGGGATTATGTATTCTGTATTGGGACTGTAATTTTATTGTAATATTTATTGGCATGAGTCTGTTGGTAGTTTTATTTTGTTATGAATTTCATTATCATACTTCCAGTATTCAAAAATTATATTCAATTGCGACAGATTCATGAGTCCAAATCCGTAATGTAAAGTATGCTGGGGAGTCTTATGTTTACTCCCAAATCCGTAGACCCACGAACGGAGCAGGATGACCACGGCAATAAAGTAATTACAGAATATTAAAATTAAAAGAATGAAAGTTCTGTAAAGTGTGCTTTGATTATTAATTACTAGATAATTAAAAAATAAGTGCACGTTTATAGTCCAAGTAGACTTTTGACTAAACAGTGCACTCTTCACTACGCACATATTGGGTGTCTGTACTAATGAAATTTAGAGGAATAATTTCAAAGATTATTTACATGTTTCTCTTATTCTATTTATAAGATACAGAAAAGATTTTATTCAGTTCTATTCTCCAGTCATATCATTTAATATTTAGCATGAATTAGTATTATCCCATAGCCTATTATTTTCTTAAAAATTTATATACTGAATAAAAATAAAGCTGAAGAGTTATTAATTGCAAGACAGAGTTAACGAGATTTAAGTTTTTTTTCCCAGTGAAACATATATAAAAAAATTACCTATAAATGTTATAAAAAAAAAAGGAGTATTCTGCAAATATCATCTAATTACTTGATGGTAATGATTTCGATAGATGCAGAAGAACGAGTGGAGGAGAACAATATCATCCTCTTCATGAAATGAGGAATATTCAATAGATAGTGCTCACCACGAGGATAGGAAATTTCTTCCTCCTTGTGCTCTAAGACGGTAGCTTCCCATTTAACGATATCCCCCAAAAGGAAGCAAACACATTTTGGATATTTATTTATTAAATTTTAATCCACACTAACTATGTCCATCATTTTTACTACTTTAACGCACACAAAAACTTATAAATCAATTGTAACAGTGAAAAGAAGTTTGATAAATTGTAAAATACACTATATCGTCATAAATTTGATTTCGTAGTTGTTATGATTTTTATATCTTATATGAATATTTATGTTCACTTTTCCTCTTTGTAATTTTTTTTCCCGTTTCAAATCTTATATCATATATATAAATAACACTAATTATATTTATTTAATACCTTTTTTTAATTAAAACATGCTCGGAATTATAAGAATTCCCCCTACATTTGTAGGGAGTGATCTCTTGCGAACTTATTATTACTTTTCCGGTTCTAAATATAGAACCTTTATATACACTGGTATAAGAGTCTTATATTCAGGATCGGACGAGTATTTCTGTATTTTTGTTGTTGGAGTCTTATTAAAGTGATATCCATCTTTTTTGGTAGCGCAAACATCGGAGTTTGTAAAGGGTCTATTTTGTTCACGCCGAATAAAAATTTGGAAAAGGAATATGGATAAAGAAGATCTTGATTGTTGTTTTGCATTTTCTTAAAACTTTCAAAAGGCTCTATATGTTCTGACCCAAAATAAAACCTTTTTGCAAATATCACATACTTTTGTTTTATAATAATACATATAATATTGTTATTAAAAGTCAATTATCACTCATATAAAATTGTGAAATCAATTGTTATTAATTAACTCTTCACATTGTAAGTGATAATTGACTTTTGATAGTAATATTATATCACTTTATCATCAAAAAGTATTATTTCACAAGATATATTAATATTATTTCTCATTATGTAACTTGAAATCATATTTTTCCAAATTTATATCAGTAAATAAATCGATAAAGAAATTAGTAATATTAACAACTATTGCGACTTACATTAACAATTTTTTATTTTTTAACACTTTTTTAGTACTAGGGGCAACAAGGTCTTTTGACCTTTTTCATCATTGTAGTCAAGTCTTTTTGTAACTCTAAAGCAATTATTAAATCAATATGAATATTTTGCAATATTTTGTTTTTTTATGGGATCTCATTCCAATTTTTCCTTAGAATAAATATGCTGCTAGTTATAGATTGATGTTATTTTCATATTTATATATCCCATGCACTATAATAATGGAAGACCTGTTTTGGCAAAAGCAAAAAACAAAAAAAACTAATAGAAGACCTTGACTTAGTGCCTGTTTAGTTAAGTTGTGAGAGTTCAAATAAGCCTGTTCAAACTCAAATAAGTCATTATAGAGCCCATTTATTCCATTTGGCTCAATTTTTTTTAAAATCTTGATAAATCATAATTTTAATCCTAATGGCATATTTGAGCATAAGCTACTAGGAGTAGCTTTTGTTATTGAAAAATCACAGTAGAGGTTTTGCAACTAGAATTTCTCCTATCTACCTTTATTAATAACAATTATTAAATTGAAATTATATTAAAATAATAATAATTGATTATAAGAATTATATTTCTCTTAACCATCCTTATTGCTTTTTGTTGGTAACTATATATTTATAAGTGATTTTAATAAATAAAATCCAAACATAATTTATATTCTCAATATCACTTGGAAAAAAAAAAGTATAGATAGGAGATTAAATAACGATTAAATAGCATCACTCTTAGCAGTGTTATTTATAAAAATCACGATGATATAAAATTATTGGTGTTCACTGTTAATCCAAACAAGCTCTTATAGTCTTATATATAAGGTAAAGGAGATTATTTAATTCCAAAAGTGTATATCACTTAATGGTGGATCTACCTCTTATATCTTCTTTTCTTTTATAATGATAGTGGTAACTTTTGATTTGTTGAGTCAATCAACAAAAAAGGGTTGCGCTCGCAAAAAGATTTTCATGAGTCATTGGCAAGAAGTGATATCAAATACAGGAATCTATAATTACACATTCAGATCCGTTTTATAAAGTATTTGTAGAACTTTTTTTTTTGGAGGCTATATTAATAAATAATTATTAAATGAAATATGAAATGAAAACAATATATCTGGTTTCTGTAATGGGAAGGTGGAATCTTAAGAATGCTAGCTTGCAGTTGAAGCATAGGCTTGTTACTTTTACTACAAAAAAATTGACTTTCAACGGCAACAAAAAGTCACCGCTAAAAGCTTTCAATGACGACACGTTGCCATAGCAGCTGTGGCTGAAAACTTTTAGCGGCAAGTAGAAAGGTTGCCGCTGAAAGACACTTTTGGCGGTGACATTTGTCACCGTTGAAAACACTTTCACTCCAGAATTGGGCAACTTTCTTGTCACTGCTGAAAGGGATGTTCAGTGGCAACTTTTTTGTTGCCGTTGAAAGTAACGCCTAAGAAGAATTAGCTTTACTAATGCCACGTCATCACCGCTCGCTGCCATGTCATCATCGCCGGCCGCCACGTCACTGCCACATCACTCCAGAATTGGCTTTACCAACGCCACGTCATCACCGCCCACTACCACATCATCGTCACTGACCACCACGTCATCATCGCCAGTCGCCACGTCATTACCACATCACTCCTCCACGCCATGTCATCGTCCAAATATTTTCACCTTAAATGTGTCTTCTTCACGGTTCGAATTCGTGACCACCTCCTTTCATGTCCAATCTTCTTGCTGCTAAGCCAGATTGAATTTGTTTATTAATATTGTAAAATAAAATATATATTATTATATTACACTTTCAGTGGCGACATTATAAAGTCAACGCTGAAAGTCAGACCTTCAACGGTGACACTGATAGTCACCATTGAAAGTCTACTTTCAGTGGCAACAATAGAATGTCGCTGCTAAAAGTGAATCTAATGATTCTCAAAGATATACTTTCAGCGGCAACAAAAAAAGTCACCACTGAAAGTCCACTTTCAGTGTCGCCGCTGAAAGTCTTAGTTTCAGTAGCGAACTTTCAGCGGCGACAAGAAAAGTCACTACTAAAAGTCTTGGTTTCAGCGGTGAACTTTCAGCGACGACAAAAAAAGTTGCCGCTAAAAGTTCACTTTCAGCGGCGACAAAAGTCGTCGCCTAAAGTCTTTTTTTTTTAATAGTGTTTGCTGGTGTATGAATACGAGTTTCACATGGCCTTCTCGTCGTTATTTATATCATCATCAACAACACCATAATAACTCTTCTCGTCGTTATTTTGCTTTCAAATGCTTTTGGGTGCATTGGAAACAAAGATAGCCGTTGTTGTTTTGGAAACATGCATGGAATATTATGGCTCAGTGCCTTCTATTAGACCCAAACCTTGCAGGATTTGCTGCAGGCTCATCAAATATACGTCAATTCTTATAGGTGCAGGCTCTGTTTATAAAGAATTTTATGTTAACCAAACTAATTACAATTATTATTTAATATCATTACGCATAATTATTTAAATATATTCTTACGCCTATTTCCATGAAGCTTGAATTCGACATACTTTTCATAAAAATAATATTCCTTTGGTGCTAAATATAAAACCTATTTTCTAGTACAAATTTGCACTACGAAATAGGTCTTAAATTTACACTACAAAATAGTTCTTATATTTAGGACTGGAGTAGTATCAAATACTAAATATTTTTAAAATATAATTTTTCAACTACTAATATTTTTCGTTTTCATACTGTTGGTATAGCATTATTTAAAAATATATTTAAAATTATTATTATCTAAAATTCTGCCATCAATTTATTCATTGATATAATAAAAATGGTATGTGAAATGAATAAAACATGTTCATGGTGCTCAATAGCTCAAATCGTTCTAGACCCTTAAAAATTTATTCATTTTTACGATTATTTACATAACAATGATAGTAGTAGTAGTATGATGAAGATGAGGAGAAGGAGGTTTTTTTTTGGTAGAAAGAGCCAAATTTATTTAATTTATAAGGTTAAAACGATTACTTGGGCCTCAATGCAACCAATCTTCCGAAACCCCCCGCGCCGTTTTAGGGGGGAGGGAAGAAGCTCAAGTGAAAGCAAGGAATCCAGCTTGAAAAGAAACCACGAGGAGCAAGAGGAGGAGATTGAGTCAAGTGGCTTTTAGGAGTTGACTTGGAAAAGGACAATGAAAATGGCTTAATGTTAGGATAGTACACTGTTTTAAATGTTAAGTCATTAAAAGAGAGCAAAAACTCAATTTGAATTCCTTCCAATCATGTTATCCGTGGGATACCTTGACTTATGGTGTACGTCTGGTGCAGACACGCAATAATTGTTCACATCATTAGGAAGACCTTGAGTTATAAATAAGGAGGCCAGGGTTGTTCATCTCATGTACTTTTTTGAGTTTCACGTTGCATGAGCTGGCTGTAATAATGATGAGCGTGAGTTATCTAAACCTTGTGAAACTGCCGCAACCAATCATCATACTCATAATGCTGCACTTGCAGGCTGAGTTGTTTATGATAGGGTCATGTTGGAGAATGGGAGATGCCAACACTAGTTGCTTACACAAGGAAAGACAAGCTCTTCTCAGCATGAAGAATGCCTTTGTGGATGATTATAGTTGCCTGTCTTCATGGGGCTCTTCTCTAGATTGTTGCCACTGGAGTGGTACTCTTTGTAATCGTCATACTGGCCACGTTGAGATGCTCGATCTTCATGGTGATGATCACCCCAGGCGGCCTTTAAGAGGTGAGATTAGCACATCATTGATGGACTTGCAAAACTTAAACTATTTGAATCTCAGTTTCAATGATTTCAATGAGAGTCAAATCCCAAAATTTTTTGGTTCTCTCACCAAATTACAATATCTAGATCTATATTGGTCTTCTTTTGGTGGAAAGATACCAATTGAACTTGGCAAGCTTTCAGACTTGCGGGTTCTAAATCTTTCCTCCAATCTTTTAGTTGGTAGTATACCTTTTCATCTTGCAAACCTTTCAAGTCTGCAGAAGCTCCATCTAGATTCGAATGATTTAGTGGGCAATATTCCTAACCAACTTGGTAATCTTTCAAGCTTGGAGATACTCCAAATTGGCTACAATGATGGTTTGAAAATTGATGACAAGAGCTTGGTTGCCATTGAGTGGCTTTCCAATCTTCGGTTGTTAACTTCACTTGATTTAAGCTATGTTTCCAATCTTAATTATTCTCACAACTTGTTGCCAATTATTGGAAAGCTTCCAAACCTAAGAGAGTTACAGCTTGCAAGCTATAACATGATAGACAATAATATTCTATCAACTCCTCCATTCCATTTGAATTTTTCTGCATCTCTCTTAACTCTTGCTCTCGATGACAACAAGCTGACATCATCATTATTCCCTTTGCTGTTCAATCTGAGCTCCAATCTCACACACCTTTTTCTGTCCAACAATCACTTAGGTGGTCCCATTCCGGATGATTTTGGAAGAAACATGAACTCTTTAGTGACTCTTGACCTTTCCTATAATGAGCGAAATGGAACAATCAGTGACATCCATTTTGATAATCTCACCAATTTACAATGCTTAGACTTATCTGATAATTTGTTGACCCTCAAATTCAGTGCTAATTGGATTCCTCCCTTTTAATTTAAATCATTATAGCTATGGGGCTGTAAGTTGGGCCCTGGATTTCCTAGATGGCTTTGCACTCAAAATAATTTACAATCTTTATCTGTTTATGATGCTCAAATCAACGATTCTATACCAGAGTGGTTTTGGAGACGTGTAATGGGAGCAGATACGCTTCAAATAGAATAGAGCAATCTCACAGGTGTAATTCCGGATTTGCCACTTGAATTTAATGTTTATGAAATATCATTGGCTTCCAATCAAATTAGAGGCTCTGTTCCACCATTCCTACTAATGAGTCGATTTTTAGACATTTCAGAAAATCTAATTTCAAAATTTGGTCATTCATGTGGCAAGGGAAGGAGTGCAATTGTTGAAAATTTGGTAGCTTTAAATCTCTCAAGCAACAACTTATCAGGGAAACTTCTTGGTTGTTGGGATCATTTCAAATCATTAAGGATGTTTGACTTATCCACTAATCAACTCTCAGGAAGGATTCCTAAATCTATGGGCTCCTTAAGTCAACTTAAGCCGTTAGTTCTGTGAAACAATTGCTTCAATGGTGGACTGCCTTCCTTTGAAAATGCAACAGAACTGGGAATATTAGATTTGGAAAAAAAATGACTTGTCAGGACCAATACCACCTTCATGGACGAGAGACAATCTAAAAGAGTTGGAAACTGTTAGCCTACGGATGAATAAATTAGATAGAAAGCTGCCCTTGCATGCATGTTATTTACTGGAAGCCAGATTCTTGGATCTCTCTTTTAACAAGTTTACTGGACCAATACCAAGTTGCCTCGACAAGCTGGTTGCAATGGCTCAAATATATGTCTTAAATGGTTCTGAATATGATATCATCCTCTTTGAGAATAGAACATTTCTAGCAAGTAGATTGTTTTATTGGAAGTTGCCTATGGTGTGGAAAGGAAGAGAATTGGTGTACTATGACTGCTATGGGCTTATGAACATTGATCTCTCTCACAATCAATTGGAGGGGGAGATGCCAACAGGAATTGTGAAATAGGTCGAGTTGAGATTCTTGAATCTATCGTCAAATAAGTTGAGTGGAAAAATCATTTCAGAGATAGGACAACTAAAATATCTAGAAGCTCTGGATCTATCAAGAAATCATTTTGATGGAGAAATTCCTTTGAGTCTTGCTGAAATATCTGCGCTAAGCACTTTGGATTTATCAAACAACAACTTGACAGGACAAATTCCAACGGGAATGCAACTGCAATCTTTTGAGCCCTCTAGCTATGAAGGAAACCCTTACCTTTGCGGGAGGCCGTTGGACAAGCTCTGTCCTTCTGAAGATCGTCCATTAGGGAATGCAGCACAAGCTACCCAGGTTGCTGATAAAGACGACACCTTCATGAAAGGATTCTACGAAAGCTTGGGCGTGGGATTTGCTGTTGGATTTTAGATAGTGCTTGGATCATTGTTAGCTATTCGATCATGGAGGCATGCCTACTTCAATTTCGTAGGCAAGTTGTCAGACTTTATCTATGTGCCAACAGTGCTTCTTGTGGCAAGATGGTGCAGGTGGCTCCGCAACTAAAAGGTAATATTTTCTTAGTTACGGTTGTTATCTATCAACAAAAGGTTTACATTACTTATGTGTTTCTTTCTTTGTTATATCTCAATTGAAAGATTTGATTGTTTCGTTGCTGATTGTCATCATATCAGCTGGAGCTTGGCATTTTGGGGTTTATCTGCAACAGCCTAAACACAACTCTTGCTTATCAGATTTTGCGGTGAATGTCATATAGTAGTTTGTGCAAGTAGGCATCTAGTGTGGCAGAAATTAATAGAAGGCAAGAAGAATAAGAAATTTTTACTGTATCATCCTCTTTTGTTACTTCTTTTAGTTTTGCGATTATGTATTCTGTATTGGGATTGTAATTTTATTGAATTTTTATTGGCATGAATCTGTTGTTAGTTTTATTGTGTTATGAATTTCATTATCATACTTCCAGTATTCAAAAATTATGTTAAATTGTAACGGATTCATGAGCAGAACAAAACCCTGCCACCAAATTTTTGAATGACAGCTACATTCTCAATTATCTACTGTTATTATATGCAATAATCTGTGAATTTTGAAAAGTCAGCAGAAACGGGTTGTGCTCGCAAAAAGATTTTCATGTGATTCATCGGCCATTAATTAGATACAAGCTTCATTCTACGAAGGAGAGTCATTCACAAGTCGCACTTCCCTCCTAACGCTTGTCTTTTATTTTATTTTTGAAGATTTGAAGATTCCTTATTGTAATGCTGCCAAATAGACAATTGATTCGCATAATCAATCGTCATGCTAACAGAGAAATTGGAGCAACCCCCTCAAAGTAGGGTTAAATACATCAAGTTATTGCAACGTTGGATGTGATAAATTAATTAGCGGCGACCAGCATTATATATACATATATATTTTTGATAGATTATAGACTATTTATTCTAATAAATTCGGGTTGTTGTTTCTATACTCTGCTTAAATTCTTTTCCCATGCTTTCTGTTTCTTGCTGTTCATGTTGTATCTTAGTTTACAAGTGGCCTTCTTTGTGGTAAATGATAGATCTTTACTTTTTGATATGATTATATTAGTCCTCTAAAGTACTAGGTTGGTTCCAATTAAAGTTCAAACATTACAAGCACATGACACTGATCTAATCTAACCTGGCTTTTGTCGAAAATCATTTATTACGATTCGAGTTTATGATCCGAATTTACATTATTATCACAAGTTTGTTTAAACTCGTGAGTTTGACAGCCTTGAATATAACCTTTAACATGTACAACTATTACAAGGATTATCTTTAAAAATACATAAATATAAGAAATAAAATGGATTGTGGTCTTTTATTTAGGACAAAATTAAAAATTAAACTAGTTTTTTTATTAAAAACCTTCAAGGAAAAAATAGAAAAATGACAGAAAAATACTTATTAAATTTTAAAATGATAAACATGGGATTTTGATAGATTTTGAATAGTCAAAACTATTACAAGAATAGTCAACAAGATCTATTCGTCTTTTTAAAATTTAACAAGTATTTTTCTATTATTTTCTCAAAAAAATAATTTGGATTTCTATTTATTAAATTTTGATTTATATTGATTATATCCACCATTAGTCATCACATATATATATTGCACACAAAAATTCTTACAAAAATTACTTTGTAACATTCAACAGCAGTTTGAAAAATCATAAAAATACATTCTATACCTACCGGATTCAAACATAGGAGTAAACCATAAATATTACTCTTTCGGTTCTTAATATAAAACTTATTTAACTAATTTAATTAGATTAAAGAAGTTAGGTAAGTTAGTTAATTATAAGAAATATGACATATTTTTTCTAAAACACCATAATCATCTTCCTTAATATCTTTTCTCCCCCTTCTACTTAATTATGGTTGAAGAATTACTCATAGGAGTAATTTAGGAAAAAATGATAAATATAAGAAATAAGTCTTATATTTAGAACCAAAATCAACTCAATAATTATATCTTATATTAAGGATCAGAGGAGTATTTTATTATATCTCTGATTCTAAATATTGAATTTAGATAACTAATTTAAAAATATTAAAAAAATATGTATAGAATTTAAGTAAGACTGACTTTTGTTGGTCGCTCAGAGTGTTTTGTGGTTTTGGTTTAATTCCAAATCCATAACCCCACGCGCCGTGGAGCGGGATGACCACGGCCAAAAAGTACACCTTTATGTATAGTCCAAATAAACCTTTGACGTGACCTAGGTTTCAGAATCACTTTTCCGCAAAACGAGGTAACCTCCTTCACTTCTTGCAATTTTTCATTTTCGTGACCTATCTGAAGAAATTATAGGCGAAGAAAAGGAAAAATAACAAAAAAAAATACGTATTGAATTTTAAAATGATAAATAAATGGTTTTGACAGATTTTGACTCAGTGTTACCTATTTATCATTTTAAAATTTAACTGGTATTTTTTTGTCATGTTTTCCAAATTAAAGTCCATGTAATTGTTTATCCCACAAAAAGTCTATGCAATTTTTTTGACTTATAGTGACATTGAGCATGATGCCTCTAGATAGAGCCCAGCACCTTGAAAATTCTCCGTGCTTTGTGCTGTGTAATACATGTCAAGGGGGAAAAAACACATTTTCGAATTTATTTATTAATTTTTAATTCATATTATATCCACCATTTTCATTACATGCATATATTGAATATTACTTTAGTGCGCCAAAAAATATAAAAAAAAATCACTTCATTACATTAAACAGAAGTTTGGAAATTTTGTATATATGTTTGGCTATTATAGTTTACTTGTTATATGTTTGATTCATATACTAACGATTTTCATACGAGCGTCAACAATTTGATTTGTCACTATATTTTACTTGTGTTATTTTATTTCTCTTTACTGATTGTTCAGTAACTTTTTCTTTGTTTGCCGGATACTGATTCTTCAGTATTGAAGCTTGTGATCTCACTATATATTATTCATAACTTTGAATGAAAATACTAGTACAAACTCCCTTTTATTTTTATTATAAGAATTTACCATATGATTCATAATGTAGCCTGTTTGGTTCAAAGTATTAATGTTTTTTCCACTTAGCATCTCTTATTCATTATAAACTTTCTTAACTAATTTACAAAACTCATCTAACTAATAATTTTTATTATGAATCAATTCAAAATTTTACAGAAAGAAACTTATTTTTAACTATCAACTAACTAATTTTATCAAGTCACGTAAAGTGGTTAATTAGACGTCATAAAAGGTATCATGGGAGCTTTATAGGTAATTGGGTAATTGACTAAACTTTGTATCGTCCACTATCTGCATGACAAGTCCCAAAAAAAGGAAAAAAGAAAAAAAGGAAAAAAGAAAAGCCAATTGCCCCAGCGCTACGCACATGTGGGTGTCTGTATTAGTGGAATTAGGAGAAATAATTCAAAAGATTATTATACATATTCCACAAAGCTCGTTTTCTCATAAAACGATAATGAAGACCGT